CTCTAAGCTTCTGATGTAAACATCAGAAATGGTTTTCAGGAAATAGAGGTAAATCAGCATGTACCAGCTGCTGAAAATACCAAGATGAACTGTATGCATGCTGCGAATGAACTAAAAAGTGGTGAACAAACTGTTTCAGATCTTTCTGTGGATGGAAAGTCTCAAAGGACTGAATCTTCAGACTGTGATATGCAAAACAGAAATGCATCTGAGAACTGCAGTGGAAAATTATTTGACACGGGTAGAAATAAATGTAAAGACTGAGACTGAAATTCTTTCTGAACTTTACCTCGCATAATTTAAAATTCTTATACCTTTAATTTGTGTATTTAACTTGTATATAGTGTAAATATTGCTTCTTTAGTTATGATATCTGTATGTTTTAAAGCATTTTGATTGTATCGAATTTGGCTTCTGACCAAGGGTTGTACTGCCCCAGACTTGCAGTCCTCGGGAGAAGGCAGTGTTACGAAATGTATTAGCGTCGCATGATGGCTTCCCAGCAAAGCAGTTATAGATTTGGCATAAAATGGCAAGGGAAGGCAGGGTTGCCACATTTGGTGAGAAATCCTCCATTTTGCGATGAAATTGGCGATATACCATGGACAGATGGAGAACCTTCTGGAACGAATTCTTACCGGTTTAGCCCAGACTGTTCTCAAACACCAGCCAAAAGCTATATAAACCCTGCTGGTCCGCAGTCAGAGAGAGTGTGCTTCATCGAGGGCTAGTCAGAGTGCCTCATCTGGAGTGGGAGTTAGTTAGTACCGTGTTCGTGTCTCGTCTAGCGAGTCAATCCCTGCGGAGTCGATCGAGTTGACAGCAGGGCAGGAGTGCCGAGTGGGTCGTCAAGTGCACTGAAGGAGTCTCTTAGTGCATCGTCGAGAGAGCGTGTTGAGCTCCAGGAATGACTGAACCAAAGAGTCAGGAGCTGTGCTCTGTGTGTCAAGTGGATTGCGAGTTGCAGCGTAGAGAGTCTCGAGAGTAAGTGGAGTTCCAAGGACGACCAAGCAGAGTCGGGAGCTGTACTCTGGTGCTTTGCAGTGAAGCTGTCTTCACCGTGATAGCCTGATAACCTCAAGGCTGTATTGCTGATTGTTCCAGCGAGTGTATAGTAGATCTTCGACGACTGTAAAAGTGACTTTGGAGCTGTCCTGATTAATATTGGCTAATAAAGTGTGTTTCGATACTTTATCAAATAGTGTCATTATTATTCACTCTAAATCCATATGAACCCCGTAGGAATGTGAAGGAAAAGAAAATAATGTAACAACTGGTGTCAGAAGAAAAGAAAAAAGCAACAATATGAAAGTTTGTTGCATCATTCAACTATTTGTTGCATCATAAAAGAAAATTTCATTTTTAATTGCACTTTATTATAAAAAGTTAAACAAAGTTAAACAGAGTCATAAAAAGACCTTTACTAAAAATACATTCATTAAACAGAAAATATAAGAAATGCAAAATTTCATATTAAAAATAAGAAATTAAAATTAATGTACTTGTTGCAATATGGTAGGCTTGAATGTCATTTTAAATTACACCTCATTACTTTTTTCACACAAAAGCATTTTATACTTTTGGAACTATTTTTTACACATACTTAGTGAATCCATGGTTCCACTTTCACTGGATTGAGCTATTACAACTGACTAGAGAGAAATTTTAAGTTCAGAAATAACCCAAAGAAACAATGGGAAATTTCTTTTTGAAAATCATTTTCGTTTTCTGGGATTGTATTTCCAGATTTAATTTAGAATTAATTTTACCTTACACAGCATTTATATTTTATAGCTTTCGCAGCATTTTGAAGCAAAGAGTGCATAAAATATTCATTTTGTCTCTATTAAGATGGCTGCAGAAGGTATGTATTGTTTATAATACTTTCTGCATGCCTGTGTATTGCTGGTTTACATTAAATACACACAACAGGTAGCAGAAATGCAAAGCTCTTTGGTGAGCATCTTATTATCATCATGATGTTGGTTTAATCCACTATTGACTACAATCTTATACATGTTTTTAACAGGTTATTTTTCTTGCATAAGAGGCTTAGTTTCATCTTTTTTGCAATGTTTGGAAGCTTCCCATTTTTTTTTTTTCCCCTAGCTGTTCTTCTGCATTTGTATCTTTTAAAGCATGTTGGGGATAGGAGGGAAAAAAAAAAAAATATTGTGAAAATTGCAATACCTACTTTAAGTTTGCAACCCAAAACAGCTTCATATGCTAGTATTCTTTTGATCCTAGAATGGTAAGCTCTATTTTTCATAAACTAAATAAAGTCCTCACTCCAGTAGTCAGATTTGCTATCCTGAAACCAAATAAAAAGTATATTTTCAATATCTTGATAAGTTCTTTTGACACTACCCTGGCTTTGTAAGTGGCCAACCCTGCCTTTGTGAATATAAGTAGCACTTCCTAAGCTGACTGAGATTATCAGTATGATACAGTATGATGTTTTACATTTTGAGGCTTCCCATGGATGATTTTCTGAGTTTTCCAAAATGCCTTCAAGTTTGTCACCAAATTACTTCCAACCATTCTCTACAATTGTCAGGCTGCAAAACAGATAGTGCCCCAACAACAAGAACATGTCCACTGGGTTGTAGACTACTTCTTCCACGCTTTTTAACCCCTTAACTGCCACGGGCGTATATATACGCCTTGCTCAGCCGATGCATTAACTGCCGTGGGCGTATATATACGCCCTTCCAAACTACTATCATTTGCTTTGCGCTGCTACCCGTAAAATTATTCGCAAAGCTTTGGAATGCAACACCACAAGGACCTTGACAAAGTACGCGAAGGAGGATACTATTTCAGAGAAGTGTGGGGAGAAATTGGAGAGAGTGGTGTGTCTAAAGAGGTGAAAGTAATGACTGCGTGGTATTGGCTGGTGTTGTTTGAGTAAAATTTTTTTTTTAATTCTGTGTCCTCCGTTTTCGTTACTTTTTGTACTAGGTTGCAGGAATAAAGAAAGATATAATGGATGTTTCAAACCCATTTAATTATTTTTTTATGAACTGCTCGTGCTTCATATTGCTACTGAAACTAACCGTTTTGTAGACGAGTATATGAACCAACATCTTACAAACAAAAAAATCAAGAACAAAATCGTAGCATTTAAGCAGTTCAGAAGAAATATATGTTTTTTTAGACATACTGATTTCACAAGGTATAACACTGAAACCTGATATTACAATTTATTGGTCTAAAAATGAATTGATCAAAACTCCATTTTAGGGATCTTTTTTATTATACTTACATCTTTTTATTATACTTTTACTCAAAACATTAAATTTTGAGCATTCATTTTTTTCTTATTCTTTATTTAAGTAAACAATTTTTAAAAAGTAAAACTTGAACTTATTTTCCGCCTAATACATCGCATAACGCCTGTGTGATAACTACGCGCGCCTGTGTGAAAAACCGTGGCACGGGGAAATGAATCTTGTACATTTTCCGCGGCAGTTAAGGGGTTAACATCAGAGCCTTACGAATCATAAATTTTCTGAGATGATCTTGGTTCATCATACAAACTTGTATTCTCTGTCTGACTGAGCCTGGAAATCGACGAGATCTACCTGGCAAAGGGAATTAAATTCAGAAAAGAAAGAAAAAAAAAAAACACAGGTTTTGCAACAATGCCTATTTTAACACTTTTCTGTTTTTTTCCAGCAAAGGCTTACAAAGCTGGATGTACACTTCATTATCATGATGCAATGTTTTTGTACTCAGTTGAAATTTCTTCAACATTTTTTCATGTACTGTGCATCAAATAGCCAAATGAGCTTAATCATTTGAAATAACTGAAAGGTTTGATGTAATACTGCATAGCCTTGATGCCTTCTTTAACAGGATAAACAATGTTACTTTTATTTCCACTATCATCACACCATAGCAACTCAGCAAGAAATATGTAGAAGGAAAGTCATAACGATATGTCCCATGGCTTCTTCATAGCAGTCATCTTGGTTCTTTTCACATCATTTATATTAATTTCTGTTTTTTTTAGTTAACAGCACACTGTTTTTTTTTTCCCAGCATGAATTCCCATTTCAGACAATTCATAGAAGAATCATTGTAGTCTGTCTACTGGTCATGCATTGTTGCATGATTCCTTCTTCCACACTACTTTTCATTGTCATGCACTATAATGGATGCCTAATATTTTATTGAACAAATTCACATATAAATACCATGTATTTTGATACTCCTGAACAAAGCGTAAAATGCAAAAGGTAAAATCTTGTGCCTAAGGGAAGCATTAAAAGTCCCATGACTTCAAGGGCATAGCTAGAGGGGGGCATCTGTTCCTGAGCGCAGAATACAAGGGGCACCAAACTGATATACAACATTTTAGAATTAAAAGTTTTCCATCCTTGGCAAGCAGTAGGGGGCGCAAAATCTTTAGTTGTCCCTGGGCGCTGAAAACCCTAGCTACGACTCTGCATGACTTGCCACATATTATTCGAAATTAACTGGTGATGCATTTCATACTTTGCTGGTTTGTCATTTAGCAGTGCATAGAATGCCTAGGAAATGTGTGTGAAATAGTAATAATTTCATATTTTGCCTAAAATAGCCTTGCTAGATTTCAGACTTTCCTGGTAACATATATACAATTTCAGAGCCATAACTTCATATTTTAGAATTATAATTCACTCAAATCCATAAAATTTTACATAGGTATTATCACAATTTTCACACTTTCACCTTCGCATTACTTAATGTATTTAAAAAAGCTCTCTTTTCATGCAACTTTTTTGCTGTGTAAATTGGAAAAGCACTCAAATTAAAACTTCCTTGTTAAATAAAAATGATTATTTTGATGACTAAATTTAATTCTAAATTCCAATTAAATGTGACAAGTAAAATATAAATATTAAAATTTATTTTAATACAATTTTTATCTTTAGATAGTCACAAAATTGGTTACAACTTTCATTACTTTAAAAGTATATGAAAATAATACTATATGTACTAAAAATGCATGATACCTGCAGCATGATACAAAGTAGGCAACCAGTCTGTGATGTGCATCATTTCCATTGATGTGCGACCACAATTTTTCAATAATGGGCTCCATATAAATGATATGCCTCTAACTCCACCTTCCCACAGAGTTGCTTTCACACCCCTTAAAGGCCAATTTGAAGCAGCATTATTATTGAAACCGGCAGCAGGCCCTCCATTATCAGTTGTAAAAACGATAATTGAATTATTCAACATATTTTTGGCTTCCAGAGCAGAAACAATAGCTTTCACAGAATCATCCATTGCAGAAACCATACCTTAAAATAATTTTTAAAGGCCAAATGTTTAAAAATAAAGGGAGTGAAAACTGAAAACAATATATTTAAATTTTAGAGCAACAACTTTTATTTTAAAGAAAGAGAAAAGTTATATTTGTACTTTATAAAACACTAGAAAAATCCACTGAAGCATATACTTTTCCATTAGAACAAAATAAAATCCAAGACAAAAGATTATGTAGCAAATGAGTAAACTGGGTGAAAAATAAAATTTTAAAAAATCCTTTTTTTTTATTAAAAGTAGTACCTCTTACAGCAACATCTTTTTAATATTAATTTATGTTATTGCTCATTGCTGCATATTTAAAGTCACACTTAACTGCAAAGATGCGCTTGCAGTTGCCCCCCTTGAAATGTGAAAAATGAGAGTTTCCAGGAGGTTTTCATGTTGCATAGCGACGTCATTTCAAAAGAACTCCAAATTGATTTAAATTTAATGTATAATGAATGATTCAGTTGAGTAAACTATTTATATGATGATTTATTTGTCAAATATATTAATATTTAATTAGCTATTCTAAATTTTATGTTCTTCGACTAACTTTCTTTTGTAATGCTTTTATGCCCTGATAAGAAAATTCCAAGTAGGGAAAGAAAAGCTTTTATTTATCTAAATACTTTTAAATGCAATAAAATTAAATTTAAAATTGATGTACATACTATTATGTGGGTAAACTGAGTTATGCACTGCATATTGACATAAAACAAAATTAAATGCACATACTAATAAATATTTTGCATAAAGTAACATGAAAAGTCTGAAGAGAGTAAATGCTCTTCTGGAAAAGTAATGATCCTGGTGCAAGTCTATTTAACACTGAGGTAAACAGCTCTTTTGCTAAATTGGTGAGATATCACCAAGATGGCGATGATTTTAATGACTAATTTTTGTTGCCAAATTTGGGGAGAAAGAGTACATAGTCTCCAAACTTGGTGACATTTTGTTCTGGTTTCTGTATGACTGTAATTAATCCCAATATGTAACTGGATCCAGCTCTTATATGTAATTTTAACTGTATATGCCTTCCAGTGATTTTGAGAAATGGAAATTACTAGAGATTTCTGGGTGGCTGGGAGAAAACTATATAAGAGAGGAGGGAGCATTTGTTCTCAGTTTTTAGTTCAGAGTCGACATCAAAGTATTGAGAGATCTCCATGCGCGTTTCCCTCTTTAACTGCATTTTCTTTGCACTGTGTTTAACATTCTTAGTAGTTTGAAGTGGTAACTATTGACTGTGCTCTGTTATACTGAGAAGAGTTGTGCAGGTACTTTTTTCCAAAGTTTCAGAAACTGAAACGTGCTTCTTCAGGGAAAATAAATTCCATCAAGCTGCCATCGGTTCTGTGTGCATTTAATTTGTTATGAATACATATGTGCAAAACAATTTTTGGTGTCAGAAGTGGGGCTGAATAGTGGTGGCAAGAACAATGAAGGAGCGACTAAGACATTTGGTGGTGACAACCTTTACTGCATTCCAAGAACAGATAAAGGGTCTATCAAGTCCATTAAAGAAGAGATGAAATCAAACAAAGATTTTGTTAAAGAGGAGGTGGAATTGTTAAAGTACAGCTGAAAAGGGCCAAGAAGAGATCAGGTTGAAAAAATATGGAAGGGTCATCAAGTCTTCTCAAAGAAAGATTGAAACCGGCTAAGAGGAATCAAAAAGAGAAGTTACTGCCCTAATAGAAAACAAATTTGATGCTATAGAAAGCAGAATAGAAAAAACTGGATAAAAAATTTCTGTCAAGCAAGGGACTGAAGAAAGAGTTTCTGATGTCAAAGAACAAATTGATGATAGAGTTGATGCTGCTGTCGCCAAGGAAGTTGACAGCTTGAAGACATAACTAATGACAGCTAGTCACAAACCTGACTCCTTTAAATTCATACATATGCCATCCCAACCCTTTCTAAAGCCATCCACGCATGATGGAAAGACCTCTTGGAAAATGTACAAAGGCTTGGAAAATATTTGCCTATGATGATGATGATTTCAAAATATGTCAGTTCAGTTGAGTGCTAACATGCATACAACTTTTTAAAATTTTGCTAAGTGATTAAACATTCATTAAGATATATCAATGACTTCAGATGAAGCAAAATACAAATTAAAGCATTATATTTAGAAACAAGATTTAAGATGCTGCTGTGATTTAATACAAAGGAAGTTCAAAGTCTGATAGATTTTTTGATTGTTACTATACTCTATAAAGTTTAAACTATTTTACAATATTTTAATATGGTAGAAAAGGAAGTTATTAAATCAAACTCAAGTAATACACTTTAGTGAATGAATAATTTAACAAGCACTTTAGAAATTACTAAACAAAATAAATAATGTATGATTTTTACATTTCTTTTTCATTCATATGTAAGATCCATTTCTTGCATTTAAAAATACAACGAACCTTCGAAATGTTTGAATGGGGCCAGTATATCTAAGAACATAAATAAATACTAGTATTGAATATTATTTCTTTAAAACAGGCATCTCCACAAAAAATCAAGATCATGTGGAACTGTGGGGTGGAACACATTCACTTATAATATTCTGAAACACTGAGCATCAAATAAATTTTCACCTCAATTTTCTTTTCTTCTGACATTATCTGCTACTTATTTTCATAAGTTCTATAAAAAAATGTTTTGATAAATGGATTTAGAGAACTTCAGTATTTTTCTTAAACAATTCTAAATATCCTGAATAAGGCAAATCTATACTTCAAATCAATAAGCACCGTCACTGACAGTTACCTTCTCTAAAACCATAACCTCAGTAGAAGATCAAAAACATCTGGAACCATGTAGGTTTGTCTTAAAAAAATTTCACTGTATGTGGATATAGGTCATGGCAAGGAGGTGAAGGTAAAGAGAGGTACATAAAGTATACAGAAAGAGACTTCAAAGTTACATACCAGCAAAAATTTTTCTGTTTTTGTCCTTTATATTGGGGAAACGTTTGATGTAATTTTCTGGTGCCTGAAGAGTTGCATAAGAATTGGCACTATGAACAGCCTGGTATGCGACATATAAAAAAAGAGGCTAAAAAAATAAATTTTCAACAGTCAAATATACATCATGATGTAAAGATTTCAAAGACATATATAATACGACTGACTAAGCTATATATCAGGAACTAGAAACAAACAATATATATGCTATTAAATTTTAAGCTGACTAATACCATATTTCTTCAATTTTAAGACATTTTAAAGCTTGTCCCTTCCATATAAGTGACACTAAAAATAAAATGTGACTTAGAGCTGTTACATCAGAATAAGTGATTTTTCCAAATTACTTATTTAAACAGGAGTATTATTGTTATAATCAAAAAGATATATGGTATGTTACTAGCAACTGATAAAAAATATTTGTAGCATGTAATTTTAAAACAACTTTAGCAATAAAACTATAAGATAATTTATAGAATTTTGATTTATTTATTTAGAAAAAAAAACTTTCATCTTCCTATCATAAATATTCAAAATTTTACAGCATCTTTATATATAGAAAGAAACTGCACCTATTATATTATTCAAGTAAGTCTAAATCACTATTCAGCAATTTCCAAAAACATAGCAGAACAAAATTTATAATTACAATAACATATACTTGTTAACAGATTATTATACCAATAGACATCTATTAAGTGATATATGTAAAATTTACAAAACAGATTTATGAAATTATTCTTGATAATAATATTGTACTAGCAACTGGTCAATATTTTAATATGGTTAAAAAAAAGAAAGGGAAAAAAGATTACAATGCATTATACAAATAGATAAACACAGTAGAAAAATGTGTTTATTAAAGACTAACTAATTTTAACATTGTGATCATTACAAATATCACATTAATTATTGTAATAAATATGAAACAGGTTATGCTATAACTGAAAACTATTGTTTGTTCCTTTCAAATCTTTTAACATACAAAAGTAAGAATTAAAAAATATATAACTACCAGACAATTTGCTTGATCATTTAGTTGATTATGACAAAACACACAACGATTATGTGATCAAAGAGGGTAGCCATCTTCATGAAAACGTTTCTGAGGTATACAGGATCATATTCATGTTATACATGGGGAGGGGAGAGAAAACATTTATGCAGCCAACTCTTTTGTAGTTCAGTTCAGGGTTTGAATCCCAGCAAATGGGCTAGCTGCATGTGCATTTTCATGGTTTTCCCCATCTGAAATGTAGATACAAGCCAGTTTCCCATAAAACTCCTCCACAAGGCATCCCTCCTCTTGGTGGATAAGCCATGTTGCATCAGAGTAATAATATATATATATTGTAATAATAAAATTCCATAGTCAAGAATACAATTAAAATTCTAACTGTATGTTCTTTTCATTTTTTAATGGCGATGGTCTCTTATTTGAAAGTACGTGGAATTAAATCCACAGCTCAGTAGTCAAGTTGTTTTTCCCGCCTTTTCTACACGCACAGTTATAGAATGTTCTGGAAATATTAAAGTGAACTGGATTGGCTGACGAGGCTGACGTTATTTCTTAGAAGCTCCGCCTTTCCAGAGGCTATAAAAGGACTCACAAAAGAAAATCGGGGCTTTTTTCTTAAATGTGACGATGCAGTAAACTTCATACAAAAAGTTATTAGTAATTCTTTTTATTTACTCTGGATATCTGATTTTGTAACTGCTATTTCTCCTGAATAATAATAAATGGATCCTGTTTTTTTAAAACTTATCGTCTGATGATTTAAGCTACGACTAAAGCTGGTACATCACAAGGAGTCGGCAGGATAGGTGTACCCAAAAGGAAAATAATTCCAATGGAAGAGAAAGAACTTAAGTGCAAGTTGTGTCTGTTTTTTACAAATGAAGAATTGTGAATTGTGATACAGCTTTGTCTTCGAATTTTGAGCGCGTCTCATAGTTAGAACCGCATGATTTGGATATGGTCTGCTGGAAAAAGCTGAAGAATTTCAATTTTTTATGCTGTGTTTTTTTTTAACAGCACACAAAAGAGCAGGATTAAAAAGTGTACTCAACAGCCCAGTAAGAACATATTTTAAGAAATTATTTTTTCTCAGTGTGTGAACTAAGTTGCTACAACAATAGTTTGTTTTAAATATATTATGTTAAAGTAATTACAAGTTTATTTAAATTTCAAGTCTTATTCTAATTAATAGTATTCTAAGTAAGATTTGATATTATCCTGAAATGTGTAGTAATAACCATAAAATTTGAGAATGCAAAATTTTTATTTAAGTCTATTATTCTATGAAGTGTTGATAATACTCTGAAGAGTTTTTGGTTTAAAAAAAATATTTTAACTATTCTAAAAATATTTTGAGAAAAGTGCACATTTTTGTTCTCAAGAAAATTTTAAAGTTTTCAGTTACAATGTCGACAAATCAGGAACCCGTTAATCTTGACGATTCACTGAACCTGAATCAAGATACAATAGATTTAAACATTATTCCATTTGAAGATTCTAAGGACAGTGACATAATTTCTTGATTAGGTTATTTTAACAAAGTCTGCCAAAATAAGGACGAAAATTGGAAACTTCAAAATATTTCTCGTTACATTAAGGGAAAAGACCTCTGGCTCTATATTAAAAATTGCCATGAGCTAAAAACTTACTCAGAATTTGAACAAATATTAAAAGAAAACTTTATCGATCCCACCTTAAATACTTTCGGCGACTTCGCTAATTTAAAATATAACGCCAGAGCAGAGAAGACATCACAAATTACTTTCGAAAGAAAATTGAAGTGGGTAAGCGGCTTAATTTGGATAAATCAATTATTTTAGAAGGTTTGACAGATGGTTTGCGAAAGAACTTAAAGTCTTTGATGATTGTTCAAAGTCCCGCTGATCCGATAACTTGGCTAGAACAAGCCCACAAACTTTGACAAATTCATGAATTTAAAGATGAAAATTCACAAAATTATAACAGAGATAGGAATAATCAACAATTCAGACAAGCTAATTTCTGAAATAATAATCATCAGTTTGTTGATAATCGACCCAATGCATCTAATTACAAACCTCATAGTTTTCAACAAATTGGAAATAAATCTAACAGCAATATCAACAACGGAAAGAAAGTTGTAAGTCACCATACTAATAGTAATTTTGACGGTATAGCCCCATCACTTGTAGAATATGTACCAAAAAAGGGATACCAAATTGTTATCACTGGGCTCAAATCTGCCCATTCCGAAATGAGAACAACGAAACTGAAACTAATTCTAATGTGGAAAACAAAAATTCGGGGTCTGATTCTTCGGGAATTTGACAACTAAGAATTAAGGGATTTTTATCCCATGGCAGATCAGTCGACTGTGTCGTGGACACTGGCGCGACATTGTCTATCATCTCAGAAAAATCTGCAAACAATTTACAGTTAAAAATTCAAAAGGTAAAAGGTATAAAATTAGGCAAACTAAAGAAAATGTTTCTATTGATAAAATGTGTAGATTACAAATGAAAATTGGAAATATTATTAAACTAATTAACTTGTTAGTGTTAGATACTAATTTAGATTATGTTTTGGGTTTAAATGAATGTAAATTATTTGAATTAAAAATTGATTGTAGTAATTTAGTGGTAACTCAAAGAAATGAAAACATTTCAAATTATGTGAATGTAAATAACAGAGTTTCTTTGCATGTACAACTTGATCAAGTACTTAAAAAAAAAAACAGTAATGTAATGCCATCAGTTAAGGCAAAACCTAGAAGTAATATCTCTGAGGTAATAAGTGTTGATAAAAGTAATATATCTAATGAAAATAATGTGTCTAAAGGTATAATAGTTAATGAAGGTAATAAGTCTAACATTATGAAGTTTAATGATGATAAGATGTCTAAGGTAACAAGAGTTAATGTAAATAATGAAAGTAATGTAAAACTAAAAATTCAAAAAAGTGATGTGAAAAAACAAAATAGTGAAATAACAACAGATTCAGAGAGTATGGAGGAAGAAAACCCTGAATTAATTAAATTGTTAAATAAATATAAGAATGTGTTTTCCAAAAATAAATATGATGTAGGTAAAATTAACATTGAACCACAACGAATTAACTTGACTTCTGATTTGCCTGTCACTTTAAGACCTTATCGAACTTCCCCTAAGGAAGAAGAAGAAATTAGACGACAAATTGATCAATTATTAAAAAATGGAATTATTAAAGAAAGTAGTAGTCCTTATGCATCCCCAGTAACTTTAGTATTAAAACGCGATGAGGGCAAAAAAATCAGAATGTGTATTGATTATCGTAAGTTGAATGCTTTAGCAAAGACTGATGCTCATCCCCTGCCCCGGATAGACTTTTTATTAGACAAATTAAGTAATGCAAATGTTTTTTCTACAATAGATCTAAGATCAGGGTTTTGGCACATTCCTATTCACCCTGATGATGACACCGAAAAATTGGCTTTTATTACAAATTTTGGACTGTATGAATGGCTAAGACTCCCTTTTGGCTTCAAAAATGCACCGGCTATCTTTAACAGAGTTATTAAACGCATCCTCACTAAAAATAAAATCCAATTTGCTTGTAGTTATTTTGATGACATAATTGTTTACTCTTCTTCCAAAGAACAACATCTAAAGCATTTGAGTGAATTATTTGAAATATTTATTCAAGAAGGTATTAAATTGAACCAGAGTAAATGTGTCTTTGCCAAAGATAAAATCAATTTTCTAGGTTATGAAATTAGAAAGGGTAAAGTTACCCCAGATAACCAAAATATTGAAAGTATTAAAAATTTGAAATATCCAAGTAATGTAAAAGAACTACAAAGAGTGTTAGGCAGTGTAAATGTTTATCATAGATTCATACCTAATTATGCTAAATTAAGATCTCCTCTAAATAAATTATTGAAAAAAGATGTACCATGGCATTGGGATGATCAATGTCAAACTGCTTTTGACCAACTGAAAAATATTCTTATTTCAAAACCAGTCTTACAATTGTATGATCCAAATAAACCTTGTAATGTTTTTGTTGATGCATCACAGATTGCTGTGGGAGCTGTTTTGAAGCAGCCAGATGAAAGTACGAGACGTATTTGGAAACTAAGTACTGTTTTGGAAAAAAAATAGTAAAACAATTTTTTCGAATCTAATTTTATTTTTACATGAAAATACATATCTTAAACTATTTTTCAACATAGTTTCCGCCAATGATCAAACACTTGTCATAGCAGGTGACCAGTTTTTGTATACCATCGTCAAAGAAACTTCCCGCCAGTTTCGATAACCCAGACTCCACAGCATTTTTCGTGTCATCGTCAGATCCAAAGCGCTTGCCACCAAGCTCGCGCTTCATGTGCAGGAACAAGTAATAGTCGGACGGCGCCAAGTCCAGGCTGTGCGGCGGATGATCGAACTGCTCCCAATGAAACTGTCGAATTAACGATTGAGTGACACCAGCAGTATGGGGCCGAGCATTGTCATGGAGCAACACAATTCCTTCACTGAGCATTCCTCTTCGTTTGTTTTTGAATGGCATGCCTTAGTTTTGTTAAAGTCTCACAATATCGTGCCGCATTAATGGTTTCGCCTCTGGGAAGAAATTCAGTAAGCAAAATGCCTTTCCTATCCCAGAAGACAGTGCACATGATTTTTTGTGATGACATTGTCACTTTGAACTTTTGTTTTTTCGGAGAATGAGTGTGTCTCCACTCCATCGATTGCTGTTTCGATTCTGGTGTGAAATGACACACCCAAGTTTCATCACGTGTCACAATTTGGTTTAAAAAGTTTTCTCCCTCATCACTGTACCGCATGAGAAATGTCAGGGCACTACCAAGTCGCTTTGTTTTGTGAACATCAGTGAGCATTTTTGGAACCCATCGGGAACACAGTTTGCGATAATTCAAGTGGTCAGACACAATTTCGAACAAAACAGTACGCAAAATTTGGTGGAAATGCCTCTGAAAGAGTTGTCACTGTGAAGCGTCTGTTCTCATGAATTGCTTCATCAACTTTCCTTACCAAATCATCGGTGACAACAGAAGACCACTCCGAGCCTCGGCGTGGACATTTGTTCGACCTGCATTAAACATTCCTACCCACTTTCTCACCATTCCATCACTTATCGCATATTCACCATAAACTTCTGTCACTTGACGATAAATTTCGGCCGGTTTAACATTCCTCGCGTTCAAAAATTTAATCACGGCACGAATCTCACAGTCAGCGGGAGAACTAATTGTCTTAAACATTTTCAATGTGCACAGCAAACTGAAAACACAACATAGAGCAGCCAAAATGGCGACAATTGAAAGTCAGTGAACAAGAAAGACTAGTGCGCATGCGCGGGACGCCTACCACAGCGCTGCGACGGCGCTAGAATGAAAACGGTACTTAGTTTCCGAATACGCTATGTAATATATCACACCCATAACATTTAGTTTCCTACCATTCTAGAGCTTTAAAAGATTACGAAAAAAATTATGCAATTACAGAACTTGAATGTTTAGCTAGAGTTAAGCTACTGGCACCATCTATTCATGACACAAGAAAACTAAAACATAATTTAATAACACTAAACATAAGTGATAAGAGAATCAATAAAATTCCGAGTTCCATACTTACTCGCCTTCCAGATATGAATTCCTGGGGTATTTCTTGCCAGTGTGATTAAACTTACATTGGTCAAACTGATAGAGCATTAAAATTTCACATTAGGGAACATGAGGCATATGTTAGAAAACAAGAAACACAGAAGTCCTCTGTTGCCCAGCATTATTGGTCCGAAAATCACACTTTTTTTTTTTTTACCCAAAATTATTCAAAAAGCATCTTCCATTGGTGAATTGGATTCCTTGTAGGCGCTTCACATTCAAAAAACTATTTGTGTTCTAGTTAACGATCATAATTCCAATCCATCTTTACCTTCAACCTTTAGGGAAATTATGTGTTAGTTTTCTTGCTTCATCAATGGATGGTGCCGGTAGCTTTATCCTGTCCATCCATTCTTATCTTATCTTATCACTATATCTTTCTCGTTCATTTGCACTTTAGCAGTTTAAAATGATAGTTCGGTAAAACCATGAAAACTAGCCCTGTAAAAATTGCAAATATATTGCTGATTTTTTTTGTTTGACTTCTACATTAATATTTGTTCAGCATGTTATTTTACCAATCTTGTTCATTTTATTAATACTTACTTTTGAACTATTATGATGCTTTATAATATGCACGGTATGATTGGTAAATAAAGCTGTAGAATATTTTCCTAGAGCATCAGTCACAGACTTCATGTTGTGATGAAAATCAAGACCCCACATTTCACCCTATAATAATACATATAATAACTAATTTTTTATATAATATGAACAAAATTAGTTCATTATAATTTTGATAAAACTTTATATAATATGAACAAAACTAGTTCATTATAGTTTTGATAAAACTCATGCGTCTATTTGATGATACAAATAACTTCTATCCTTCCAGTGATCCAAATGGTATAATTCTTTTTTAATGTACCTTATTTATGATTCCGGACATCACTATACAATAACAAACAATATCTTTTATTTGTAATAAATTATTTTTATAAAACTAAGCTATGAATATGTGATTTAATAAATAAATCAGCTACATTGTAAAATTTTTGTTAATTTAATAACAATCTATTTTTCCAACTTTTGGTATTCCAAGAATAAAATTTTCTTTAAATATAAAAGTTACAACATAACTATCATAAAAGAAAATGCTTATGAAACACAATAAAATCTGTTGTTTTCCTTACAACTTTTATACCCACCATCTGTTGTGTATGATCAAAATAATCTTCTTTTCCACCCCAATACCCATAGTGAGAGTCGAAGCCACGGAATGTTGGAGTGTACTCTTTACGAAAAAAACCCAAGTGCCACTGAAAAGTAATTACAGTTCAATCACTCACTTCCTGGAGTTTTCTGGATTTTTATGAAAATTTTAATTATATATATATATTGCAAATATACGAGAAAATTGCGCTCATGCTTCTAGGAAATCAGACTTCAGTGGTTTTTCCAGCTTATAAAAATGTCATGTAATTATTTCCATGGCATAAAAATAAATAATTATGAATAATATATTTTTAAGAAGCGATAAGCAGAAGTACATCACAAACAGTCTGAAAAGATTTTTTTTTTTTTTAAATATTAAAGTTTCTTTAGAGATCAACTAAAATTTTGAGCTGTAACATTTAGTTAAAAAGAAGTTTCAGGGTACTTAAAAATTTAAAGGTAGGTAAGAAAATTATGAATAAAATTTTAAAAAAGTGTGATTTCAAAATATAAAAGACTATGATAAGTTAAGAACATTTAGCTTATAAGTTACCTTTCCAACAGCATGTGTGGAATAGCCTAACTTCCTCAAATACTGGGGCAAAAGAATTTTACTCAAAGGTAAACCCCAAGGCTGATCAACATAAATAACATCATGTTGTAATCCTGTAAGCAATTAACAGAAATAATAGGATTAAGATAACAGAATAAGAAATAGCAGGTAGGATACGAAGTAAACAAACTGAAATAAAGATGATAGATAAAAATTAAAATTTGTAAATAAAATAAATTTTTAATTAAAAAGTTTTTTTTTTCTCCCCCCACTTCACTTTTTTTTTTTTTTTTTTTTTTTTTTTTTACAATTTTAATATTTTTTTATTATCACATTGTGATCTTAAATGAAAATTGGTAGTTTACCATCATCTATAAAATTAAAGGTACAGTGTTTACTTGTTTGTATCATAATAGAGTACATTTTTAAATGTAGTGCAAAATTCACTGAAGACTTAAATTTTATCACCTAAAATTACTTATTCTAAAAAGCAATATATTAGACGACATTTCTGTAATAAGAAAAATAATTACTGAAAACAATAGTATGTTTCAATTTTAAAAAATCTAAAACATCATTAATAATAATGCATGCATCAGAAAAATAAGCAGTACAATAAGCTGAAGCAGTAACATAAGGCTTAGTTTTTTAGCTAAATCTACCGAATTAGAAAAACCATTCTCAAACTAGAAGTTTAGTTTACATTTTATGTTTAGTTAATTTTAGTGTACATTATTTTATTTATTTTTAAAAAAATTTATATTTTTTAAAAAATGCATGCGCATTATTTGAATACTGTAACTGATTTTTTAATTATATTGAGTGCAGACATCAATACATGTAAAACTGGGAACAATCAAATAGTCAGAAATGCAATTATTAATATTTAAATTACCATAAAATAAAACAGAAAATAATTGTTTAATATAGTATAGGTTTTAACGCAAAGCACAATTTTGACTTTTTAGAACTGTCAACTGTCATAATTCAAAATTTGCATGAATTTAAAATACAGAAAACAAAATTCTGTGCAAAAGTGATTTTTCATTTCAGTTGCAAATACTTAGATACAAAATTTGCAAGTCTATCAGAATATACATTTTTAATTAAAAAAGCAATAAACAGATTATTTAATAGCATGCTCCGAAATTTAATAGTATTTTTGGTACTTTCTTATTATTATGGCCCCCATTTTGTAAACGGTGCCAAAATTATCGGTAAATCGGTAATGCAAACCATCTTTAAAATTGCGAGCAGTCCTAATGACAGTTGTTAACATTTTCCTTGTGACAAAAAGATCTCAAAATAAATCAAGTGTTATTTTTCATATAAATAATTATACGTATATATAATATACAATAATATTCATATAACATTCTTTTTTCATATAATTGCTGACAGTTAATGATCATTCATAATTCTTTTGTCATCAAAAAAAAAGCTCTGAATATTCAATGTGTTACATATTCTCTTTTTTCCAAAAAAGATATTTAAAATGTTTGAGTTACCAAGAAGTGAGGAAGCATTTCCAAGAAAGATGCTTTAATGTAAGTACATCCAAGATGGAAGAATAATCAGACCAGAGGTCTTTTAAATATTTATTTTAAGACTTAACAAAACTTCTGGACTAAATACAAATAAAACATCATTACAGTACAGACATAGCATACAAAACTTCCGCTTTAGGCGGCTCTGAACAGTTGCTTGGCACAACATACCTACAGCCTCTCTCTAAGCATAAATTTCACATAAAAACCTCTTTCTTGCCTTACGCTAAATTTGCAAGGAAACTGTACAGGGGGGTCCTCCTTACGAGTTCCCTCTGTGAAATTATTTTCTGGTTATTTAGCGGACACTGGGTGATAGTTTGCAAGGAAACCGCACAAGGGGGTGTCTTTAACGTACTTCCATTGTTAATCACCTGAAAATTAGTTCTCTTGATAACAGGAAGTCCTTTAATTTAAAACGGACGTTCCATCAAACTAGAAGATCGTCACAACGCCTTTTGAAAGAGAGAGGAGAAAACATGAGTATGGTGACAATTTTAGTGCTAACCTGGCATTTAAAAAATAGGGGCATAATATTAATAAAGTACCTACTTTTACAATGTAAAAAATCTTATGAAAAGAACAGTTATCTTAAGAATAGGCTCTGGTAAACAAGAAATTTATGCAAGACATAATTAAGAAAGTTATGGGAGGAGATAAATAGTGAATTTTTTCTAAGACGACTGCACGATTTCAGATGATTCTGGTTTTCTGTGAAATTGATAATCTTAGATAGGTCATATTTGATACCTATAATCTGCATATATTCAGAAAAATATTGACCATTTACAGAAGTGGTATCTTAAGGAAGTGGACAGTGCAAAATGATTCAGTCATTGTATTTACATAAAAATCAGTAAATAAAGCAAGAAACTGAAAGAAAAAAAACAAGGACTAAGAAATTTATTTAAATAATAATGAACATTTCCATTTTTATATGAATCTATAGACATTCATAACTGATACTATAAATTTGAAAACTTCTTTTTTTAAAGTCATTCACTGTAATACAGCAAACATTTCATAACAGAAAAACCACTGAAACCAATCATGAAACACACATCATTAAATTCAGAAACATCACTGACAATTGAAAAATATTTTGAATATATACACATGATAATACTTATTTTTTAATATTCTAAGTACTATTTGTCAATTAAAAGTAACTACTTCTCTTGCATAATTTATAATTAAATAAAAAATTTTTAAATTCTCATTATGTGATAATTTTTATATGCAGTTGCACAAACTATAACAACAACAAAACAAAAACAAAAATAACTGATTTTTTTTAAAAAGCATCTCTAAGATAAAAAAAAAATATTAAAATGTTCTGAAACTTGCACAATCTATGAAACTGCATTTTCATTAAACATAATACATTTTAATAACTGATTCTAATATACTGTAAAATAAATATACCAATTGCAAAAGGTTATAAACTGACTCAAAATTTGATTTTCTATACACAAGTAACAACATGAAGTAAGATCAGAAATTGTAAACCAGTGTTCCCAGTATGCAGGTAATGTACATGCGAGCAAAATTTATTACTGATATGTGAAACTACAAATAATGCAAATGCTATATAAAAATGTAATATTCATGAAATTTACATTAATACAGTAAATTTAAATGATAAATTTGAGCAGCAAAACATTGTCAATATTCAATAAGGAATAATAAAGTATAATATACTATTCATCACATACTATACCATAATGTCAAATAAAGTAATGCAAAATATAGAATATACTTTGCTGCTACATGTGAAAAAAGTATAAAAATTCTGATGTTTGCCTAACCCTCAAAAGATACTGAGAAAAATTCAGTTCTTGTGCTGTATAGTAAAATATGTCATAATAATTTTTCGGTACTTTTCCGTTTTGCCGGCGCAGGCGATAAAGTCGCCAATAATGGTACAACTGATGCCAAACGAAATATCCTTGCTGGTAACCTTTTACGCCTCATTTTCAAAACAAGCTGCAGCCATTTCTTATCAGATTGATTGTTTCTTTCAATCCTGGCATACAATTACATAGAATTTTTACCAGATAGTAAATTTTTATGTCCTAAGGCCACTCGCGATAATTAAGTTAATTAAGATGTTATCAAACTGCTCACCCGAAAGCAAAAATATAGAAAAGCAAAGTCAAGGGTTAAATTCATCCATTCTAATGAGAATGCACTAGCGAAATAAAGCACTGCGGTTTTACACAAGCTATTCCTACGAATTGAAGTAATTCTTGCATTCAAACTTGTATTCCAAATTAAGATTTAACTTGAAATTAATGTAGATAATTACTGTGAGAATTAGAATTTTGTAGCGTAGTTTACGTGAGATGAGATCACTTGGGGTGACGTGATACGAACCGGCGAATTAGGATGTTGAACTATGAAAGCATAGTAAATTCTTAAACTAATGTTATTTTACAAATTTATTGTCTTTATTTATTGGCTTTTTACAAAATTTTAAACGATATTAAAATGTTTATGCGTTCAAAATTAAAAATTCTTAGAACTAACATTTGTTAACATTTTTTATGTGTATACTGTATGTTGTCGCTAGTAAAGGCTGCTTGGCGAGATTTGTGCCGGAGAAAAGGAAAAGTACCAATTTTTGTTTTCTTATTCTTCAATATTTTACAACCTGTTAAGTAATTGCTTATGTGCAATAATATTATTTGATATAGTGTACAACATTTTTATTTTAGATTAATATTTTGAAAACGATGTTGTTAAAAGTGTGATGGCAGTTGTTTGAAAAACATTTTTCTTTTTGAGCTGATGAAATTCTGATTGATCTTTTGCTGAATGTCAGGTAATTCAGATAATGTCCCTGTTTCTTTAGCTAAGTGTAAAAGAAGAAGAAATTCTTTCTGTGTAAACAAATCGCTTCATTGAAATTGAGAAAATTCTTGCTCCCTTCAAGAAGGACCACATTAGTTTTTACAGCTAAGTGAATTATTTCCTTTGTGTTTCATTAAGTAAAAAAGATTGA